TTGTCATTCTCAGAAAAATCTCATAATGATGAGAAAGCAGGCATAATGTTGTCTTGATTGTCTTATTAAAAATATTGTAAAATATTTTTAATGTAAAAATATTGTCTGTGACCTTTTTCATTGTTTTGGTGGGGTAATACATTTCCTTTTCTTTAGTTATCTTGTAAAATGATCCCTCAGTGTTTTAAAGATTGTTCCACCTCCAAAATAGATTTCTTTGCTGTGTACTTGTTTTGGGTCCAGTCTTTCTTTCTAATCTCATTTCCATAAGTGTCTCCTGTAGTGCATTGGGGTCTGGGGTGTTGTTAGGGTCCAATTGTGGGGTGTTCTGTTGTCAGTGATGATGGAAATGGTTTATCACGGAAATGCTGACAAACCTAGTCCATTTTCTGTGTTGGTTGTCTTCTTGACAGTTTTATCTTTGAATGAACTTGGTATGATACGATTCACTTGATCCTTATTCCAGGCTTTCTGTACACTTGTCTTTTTTCCCACTGATTTTTGCTACTTTATGGTTCATGTTGTTTGTAATCTTTCACCATCCTCTGTAGTGTTTATAAATAAGATTACATTTTTTAAACCCAGTCCTTGGCTTGCTTCTCTTTCTTCTTGCCAAGGAGATAAACTGCTGACTAGGGGGGTTTCTTAGTTCTTCTGGCCTCCTTTTTGTTGTGATTATTCTTCATCTGTTAAAATTTTGCAAAAAAATGGTGATAGTCAAAAGTCGTTGGCTTTGCAGTGTTTTCTACAGTAATTTCAATTTTTTTGGGTGTGGGAGGAGGATCTATGACTTACCATAATAGATCAGTATGAAGCTGTTGCAGTTATGCATGTTATCTTGTATTTATCATCTCTTCTAATTTGGTACTGATTTTTACTTTTGCTCCAACTGTATACCAACAGTTCATTCTTATATGATTCCCAAATCATTAACCAGTAGTTTTCTTTCTGTTAAGAAATGGTCAGCTTCATTTTTTTTTGTGATGCTGTTTGGTGTTTGTGAATTGTAAGGTTCTAAGTATACACTTTCAACCTTGATATCCTTGGGAGTATGGTTGTTCTTTATGTTCACATTTTTTTAATGTTCTTACTCATCGTTCAGTTCAGCTTGTGGTAGCTTTCTGTTCAAATGGGGTAAATTAGAGGTTTGATAGGTACGAGGTTCAAATAAGCCTATCAGAATCAAAGAATCAATGACCTTGGAGATTACTTAAAGCAGCTCTTATTTTATAGATAAGGAAAGTGAGGCATAGAGAGGTTAAATGCCTTGTTCCTTTCTGGGCCTTAGTCCTTGAAAAGTTATCTAGACTGGCTGCTTCCTCTTCCTCTCTTTTCATTAACACCTCAATCCTTTCCAACCTGACTTCTGACTTTATTATCGTATTGAAACTTCTCTCCACAGCTACCATTAAGTTCTTTTTATCTGATTTTTTTGTTTGTTTATTTTAGGCAATTGGGGTTAAGTGACTTACCCAGGGTCACACAGCTAGTAAGTGTCAAGTGTTTGGTCTGAGGCCAGATTTGAACTCAGGTACTCCTGACTTCAGGGCCGGCGCTCTATCCACTGCACCACATAGCTGCCCCCATTAAGTTCTTTTTAAATGGATAAATTTTCATTATTATATTTTTGCATTGCCCAAAATTTCCCTGTCCGCCTCTTCCTCCCAGAGAACTTTGTTTCTCTTTGAGCCACCAAGGACAACAACCACCCAGAGAACTATGCCTTATAACATAGAATTCTTTAAAAAAAAAGAAAGAAAGAAAGAAAAAACAAAGAGAAAAGAAATCAGCAAAATTTATCAGTGCCTCCAAAACCCCCCCACTCTGACAGTATGTGCAGTGTTTCACGCTTATGGACCCCTCCTCTACTTCTCCTCAATTCCCCCATGCAAAGAAGTTGGGTGAAGTGTTTTCTTATATCTCTCCTTTGGTGCCAGTTTTATTCTTTACAACATTTGTATCTTTATATAACCCCTCCAACGCTGACTATTTTATCCTTTGACATCTTTTTAAGTTTATCAGCTATGGGACAAAACCTCAGGGTTGTTTTGATATACGTTTCTCTTATTAGTATTGTACCATTCTTTCCAATAGTTGATGATAACTTGAAATTCTTTTGAGAACTTTCTTCATATCCTTTGATCGCTTGTCTATTGATGAATGGCTTTTGGTCTTTTGTATTTCTGTTAGTTGTTGATGCATTTTGAATACCAAAGCTTTATCTGAGAATTTTGATATATTTTTTCCTAGTAGGCTGATTCCCTTATCACAAGTATATTAATTTCATTGTTGCAAAAGCTTTGCAATTTCATGCAATCAGAATTATCTCTTAAATTTAAATTGTCTTTAATCCTTGTTTGGTTGAAAATTCATATCCCAATATAGCTGTGAAAGGTATATATGACCTGCTTCTCTTTTAAGACTTTTAGGACATGATTTTTAATATTAAGGTAGCATATTTCATTTGAATTTATTAGGAGTATGGTGTAAGATGTTGGACTAAGTTAATTTCTGGCAGGCTACTTTCCAGTTTTCCCAGCAGTTCTTATCAAATAGGTATTTCTTATTTAAATAATTTGTTTTTAAGTTTGTTGAACACTGAGTTATTGATTTCACCAAATATCTCTGAATTGCCAAATCTGATGGTCTTTTCTCAGTCCTAATCCCTCTCAGTCCATCTGTTGCATTTGTTGACCACCCTGTTCTCCTGGATGCTTTTTCCACTCTGGGTTTTTGTGACATTACTGTCTTCTGGTTTGCCTGTTACTTGTTTGACTGTGGGTTCTCAGTGTCTTTTGCTGGCTCATAATCCATATCACTCACTTAAATGGAGATTCCTCAAGATTCAGTGCTAGATCCTCTTATCTCTGTATACTTTTTGTCTTGGTAATCTTGTCAGATCCCATTGTTTTAAATATCTTTTCTATGCAGATAACTCCCAGATGTCTACATCCAACTCAGTCTTCTCTCTTAGCCTTAATTTCATCACCAATTTCCCATTGGACATTTTTTTAAAGGGCAATTGGGGTTAAGTGACTTGCCCAGGGTCACACAGCTGTGTCAAGTGTTTAGTCTTAGGCTGGATTTGAACTCAGGTCCTCTTTAACTTCAGGGCTGGTGCTCTATCCACTGCGCCACCTAGCTCCCCCCTGCATTGGACATTTTTAACTGGATGTCCCAGAGATATTGCAAACTTAACATGTTTAATGCTGAATTTGTTATCTTTCCTCCTACAACCTTCTCTCTTCCAAACTTCCCTATTTCTGCTGTAAGCACCACCATGCTTCCAATATCCCAGGTTTGTCATCTCAGCCTTATCCTGAACTCCTTACTCTCTCTCATCCCACATATTTAATCATTTGCCAAATCTTGCTATTTCTACCTTAAAAACGTCTCTTACATCTGATCCCTTCTTTCCTCTCATTCCACTAATACCTGAGTTCAGGTTTGAAATTCCTCTTGGCTAGATTATTGCAGCAATTTCCTAATTTGTTTTCCCTGCCTCATGTCTTTCTCCATTCTAGTCCATCCTACATCCTGGTACAAATTAAGTTTTCTCAAGTTCAGATCTATCTGACCATGCAATTCCCCTACTTACCCAACTCCAGTGGCTTCTTTTTGTTTCTAGGATAAAATATAAATTCTGTTAAGCTGTGAAAGCCTAACACAATTTAGCTCCATTCCATCTTTCCAGTCTTATTGGACTTTATAGCCCATCTCCACTCAGTCATCCAACCAGCCTGCCTTCTCTCTGTTTTTTATGTAGGACACTTCATATTCCATTTCCATGCCTTTGTGCAGATCTCCTCTATGCCTGCAGTGACCTCCTTCCTTACCTCTGCCTCAGAGAGTCCTTCTTTTCCTCTATGATACAGCTCAAGCACCATCATCTTTTATGATTCCCCCAACTACTAGTATTTAGTAATACCCAAACTATATTGTATTCAATTACTTTGTCATTGTGCTTATTAAGGGCAATTAAGTTGGGAAGCTGATAGAGTGCTAGGCCTAAAGTCAGGAAGACTCATCTTCAAATCTGGCCTCAGACACATATTAGATGTGTGACCTTGGGCAAGTCACTTAACCCTGTTCACCTCAGTTTTCTCATCTGTTAAATGAGCTGGAGGAGGAAATGGCAAACCACTCCAGTATCTTTGCCAAGAAAACCCCAAATGGGGTCATGATGAGTCAGACATAACTGAAACAATTGCATAACAACAAAATTGTATTTATTAGCTTTATATTTATGCTGTATAGATTTTTATATGTACTTTTTATATGTAACCTCATTGCAAGTAGATATTTCATTTTTTGTACTTATATCCCCAGTGGCTGGCACATAGTAAGTATTTAATAAATATATGTTGATTAATTGACTGTCTGAAGTAACTGAAATAGTAAGTTGAAAAACTGAGACGTGAATGTAGCTTCTCAGACCCCAAATCCACTGTATTTCCCAGTGTATGAGTTTGAAATAATATCTGTCTAGTTTTGGATCCCTTTCTCTTTACTCATATTTTTCTCCCAAATAGTTACTGAATATTACCCTTCTCCCAGCCTGGTCTATTGGTTCCCATTCTGTTTCTATCTGTCTTCCCTTGAGACCAGAACCTACCCTTTCATTATCTGCTCATAGCAAAGTGATATTTTTGTTTACTGTTTGTAATAGGTATGACAGTATAGAGGCAGCTCTCTACTTATACATGAAAAAGTAATATTTGCAGCTGACTAGTAAAAAATATTTGTGTGGAAATTGACTCTTTGGCCATATTTTCAATATGGGATTATAGGATTCCTCATCTTAGACTTAGAGTAGGTAGTAAAACCTGGGTTCAAAATCAGAGTTCTTCTGGTTAACCCTGGCCTTTGCCAGTGATAACTCTTGTGAAGTAGTATCAACATGGAGAAATTTTTTCCTTTAGAGGAATAGTTTTAGAATGGTTTATACTGCTTTTAGGAACTTATCCTTATTTTTAATTGTGTTATGGGTATTTTGACAGTCATACTGAAGAGAAGACACAATGGGAACATCCTAAAACTGGGAAAAGAAAACGAGTAGCAGGAGGTTTGTATTATTCGTTAGATTATTCATTGCATAGCTAAATATACCAACACGCAAAGCATCAATTACAAAATAATCCTGTCGTAGGCAGAGTGCTGTCCGGGCAGTTGTTATTATAACTATGAGTAGATATTAGAAGAGTGGAAAAATTGATGGAGTAAACTGTCTGTAAGTAGTAACTATCAAATTCAATTTGTCAAGCATTTGACTACACTCAAGGCAATATGATAGCTGCTGAGGATACATAGACAAAATGAAAATCAGTTCTTTCTTTCAAGGACCTTATTCTACTCTAGGTGATTTACAGAATTATGGGGAAAAAGCAAATCATATTTTTAAGCTACTATAGAGAAGTTTTAATTATTTTTGAGAATTTATTTATTCATCAAGACTATATTAAAATAATAATATCATACATTTTTATTCTATAGCATTATATTTACTCACACTTAGAATATTCATCTTTCACCTTTTTTCACCCTTTTAGCAAGAATTGAATGTCTTTTATGTGCCTAGCACTGTGCTGTGACCCAGAGGGGATACAATAAAAGCATAAGATAGATCCCCTGCTATAAAGGAGGCTAATTAGGGAGATGAGACACATGTAAAAAGAGGACAGTATGACAGATGTTATGAGGCAGGGTATGAAAATTAACTGTTGAGTAGTTAATGATAATAAATGCTATGAGTTGATTGGACAAAAATATCATCTGGGTCCAGATGCCAGCTGTGCTAATTGGTGTCTGTGTGATCTTGACCAAGTCATTTGGTTTCCTTTTCTGTAAAATGAGGAGATTGGATTAGATGACCTCTCAGGTTCCTTCTAGCTCTAAATCCTCAACCACATTCTGGAAGATTGTCGTGGTTAGAAAAGATTTCATGGAGAAAGTAAGAGCTGAGCTGCACTTCAGAGGTTGGGTAGGAATTAGATAGTTGGGAGGAAGTAGAATGCTCTGCATTTGTGGAACAAAAGAAACTGGAATCTGTAGTTGGAATTAGCAAGACAAGTCTTATTTATAACTGTGAAATAATTAGAGAACAAGTACCTAATAAAATACTGTGTTATATAGCATAGAAAACAAAAGCAATAGGAGTTTTGCTAAATGAATGATAGATGACGGAGTCACCGTGGAAAGCTTTTCGGGGATAGGTAGGATCAGGCTACTCAAAAAGGAGAGGGAAAGTGGCATTTATTATGAAGAGAGGATCAGCAAATGCATGGAGGTGAGAATGAGCATCGGTCTTTTACCTTCTTATTGATATATGGAATAATACATTTTTCCTTTTTTATAAGCAGACTCACAGTCTTTTCTGTGTTTCAGACCTGCCTTATGGATGGGAGCAAGAAACAGATGAGAATGGACAAGTGTTTTTTGTTGAGTAAGTGTTTAAAGATATAGAATGTAGTTATCTCTTTGCTTTAAAAACTGTTATCAGGCACTTTACCTTGAAGTCTCTTTTATTTTATTTTTTTAATTGGTGAAAAGATGAAGCAACTATAAAACTTTTTTTTTTGGGGGGGGATGGAGGAAGAGAGATTTCTTAGGTTTTACTATTTTGGTATAAGTATAGAACCCAAACCATATATGACTTAAATTTTTACAAGCTATTTATTATGTTTTCAGAATAATGCAATTAACTAAATGTCCAAACAACTAATTAATTTTAAAATTTTATTATGAACTTAACAAATAACAAATAAAATTAACTGTTCCATATATATATACAACAAATTAATCTTCAAAAAGACCTTCAACATACAAATCTCAATAAACTATGTGTTATTCTTTATGTCTTTCAATACTTTTGTTTGATTGTTAATTCTTCTATTTGTGTTTTTATTGGGCTTTTATCAGTTCAAGATCTGGCTCTTTTTTCTTCATTTCCTACTGTTTTATGGAAGTTTCTCTATTACCTTACACTCCTCATATTGCAGCTTCTTAATTGCAGCATAGTAATTGTGTTCTTCCAGTTTAGCAAGTCATTACTAAGTTATTGGGGTCATACATGAATTTCTCTGTTTAGACAGATTGCTGTATTTCCAGAAATTGACCTCCTGAAGACCATTTTTCTTGTGGATCAATTACCCTGCTTAGTGGCTAGAATAGGTTCTGAAGCATCAGGGAGAAATAAAGGGAAAATATTAATACACAGGTTATTATTATTATTTTTAAACAAATAGCAATTTAGATAATTTTTTTTAGTAGAACAGCTGTATTTTAAATTGGTGACAATACATGGTTAATAGTTCTCTACAAATAGTTAATGGTTCTCTACAAATGTATAAGGAATGAATCTTTTGATTTTGGTTAGAGGTTGTTACATAAGATAGGCCCTTCCATTTATTTGTGAAGATTTTTAAGAATTGATAGTGAAATCTAATCTTTTACTATTTCATGAGGATTTATAGTTTGGCTTTTAAGAGATTTTTTGATTCTTCATATTATGAAAAAAATCTCACAAATGCATTGTGACATTGAAATAATTTTAAAATTTCTGTTAAAATGAATTGTCATTCATAACTTCATATATCTAGTTATTAAATAATATTGTAGGTTATTAGTTCATTTTCAAATGATTATTTGAACATTTATATACTACATTTAATTTTAGTCAAGACAACTTGAAAATTAATTTTTTATAATTAGAATAAGAATGCCTCATTTATACATAATCTTATAGTGATATATAAAAATGTTTTCTTCACAACTACCCTCTGAGGGAGATAATGTAATCATCTAGTCTTTTCTTTAGACTGCCACCAAATACTTGATAAAGTATAAACTAACCGTATTGAAGGCCTTCTACAATCATGTTTCATTCTTTTCTAGTCTAATTCAATCTTTCACTTAACCTGTCATCTAGCCAAGCTGAGCTACTGACCAGTCTCCAATTTTTCCTTCTTTCCTCCACTTTTGTGCACTTATGCATACCATCCTTCATGATTAGAACAGTCTGCCACCATGTCAGTGCTTTGTACACAGTAGACACTTAATAAGTGATGGCTTAATTGAACTAAAATCTTTTCTTTCTTTAAGGCTCAGTTCAGGGAAGGAATATTTAATAATCTGAGTTCTAAAAAACTGTTATTAATTTTATGTCTTGTGCTTCTCTACTGGATTCCTGGCATATTACTGAGCACCTAGTAGGTGCTTAGCAAATATGTATTGAATTGAATATAGACTATGTAGAAAGTCAGAACCAAGTACTATAGAATTTACAGTTATAGCAGCATAGAGTTTCAAAAAACAACCATTCCAAGTGGTTTTTTGGTTCTAAAGCAGAGGTGTCTTACAAACACATGGCCCACAATAGTCCTGACTGCAGCCTGAACCAGATTAAAATGTAACTGGGAAATATTTAGTAAAGTTAACAAAAATACATTAAAACATAGATAATATTAATATGTGGTTTTCTGAGTCAGTATTGGCCTGGGGTCAGTATTATGTATGGTTTAGTGGATCCTGTTTCTATTTGATTTTGATACCGACGTTCTGAAGAATCTGATTTCGAAGTGATTGTTGCATATCAAAGCATATTTTTCAAGAAATCTTAAAGTAAAGGATTAGGCAGTTATTTTTCTAGGTAAGAGTAATTTTTCTAGAGGTCAGAAGAGGAACTAAAGGACCTTTGTGTCTTAAAGTTGAAAGAAATAATAGACTTCTGGTATGTAAAAAAATAAGGGTTTCCCTCAATAGTAAGAATATCTTTTGTTTACATAAATGCCTTTGTTCACTGCTGTAGGTTAGCATGATTTTTTTTCCCTCTTTCTTTGCAGCCACATAAATAAAAGAACCACATACTTGGATCCACGACTGGCATTTACTGTTGATGACAATCCAAAGAAGCCACCAACCAGGCAGAAATATGACGGCAATACTACTGCTATGGAAATACTTCAGGGTCGTGATTTCACTGGAAAAGTGGTTATAGTTACTGGAGCTAACTCAGGAATAGGTAGGCCAGTATTCAAATTTATTGAGAATGCTGTAATGAGAAGCACTTTCAAAAATTCTAATCATAGTAACTTTGGTGTAGCGACTTTCTTCTTCTAGGAAATTATGTTTTTGTGTATTATACTTGAACCTAATGTGTCGTTGCAGTGATGATTTTTCTTTGCAAACCCCATAGTAGTTGTGTTCATCATCATGGAGGCCTGCATCATGTAAGGCCTGACCCTGAAACTGAATACTCAGCAAAGATGTTAGTTAGTTTATAGTTTAGGTGTTACAGGCAACAAATTCAAAATGCAAATTTTCCATCATCAATAAATTTGGTCTTTGCAGTACACAGAGTAACTCTATAGTTACCTGAGTAGTTTAGGCAAAAATACAAGTATTTATACTGCTAACCTGATTATAGTGTATAGTGCTGGAAAAATAATATAGCACTTTCTTACTAAGGATATTACATTTAGATTTAAATTGATTGCTTTAGTCCTGATATCTTTCCTTTCACTTGTGACTTCTCTTTCCCCTGGAGACCACAGAGGAATTTGGGCATTTTATGATGTAAGCATTTGGTGCTTCTTTTTCCTGCTTGGTGGTTACTGAGGGAGTGGCCCAGTGGGTGTTCTAACCTTGACCCTGCTATGCCTTGCAGGGACCTAGACCAGAAGTGGGGAACCTGCAGCCTCAAGGACACATGTGGCCCTCTAGTCCTCAGGGGAGGCCCTTTGATTGAATCCAAACTTCACAGAACCATGTGAAGTTTGGATTCAAAGGGCCAAACTTGAGGACCTAGAGGGCCACATATGGCCTTGAGGCTGCAGGTTCCTCATCCCTGACCTAGACACAATCCATAAGTACTGCCTTGCTCTTTCCTCTACCTAACACCCACTTTCCTTTAGTTACAATTTTTTTTCTATGTATATATGGAAAATCTCCTGTTAGATGGGTCGTTAGAGCTCCCCACTATCTAATGAACTTGTACAGTGGTATTCTCTATCTTTCCCACCCCAGCCACTTTTCACATTGTCCCATCTGCTCCAGTGCAGGGTTCAGTTTCTGCTTCCATGTCAGCCTCCCTGAAAACATGCAGTTCTCTCTAATTAGTATACATAGCTTATCAATTGCATTTGATGTACTTCATATTAAAAACTCCTTGAGTGACTAGTAGGTCCCCATGGTCTTATTCTTGCTCTAATAATAAGATTTAATTTTAAAAGAGCACTTTTCTTTGGGATGGGAATTTATTTTTTTGTGAAAATTGGGGAATCCTTTTTTTTCCCTTTATCCACAAAATTTACTGCCTTATTTAATCTTAGTTATTACTACTACTGTCTTGATAGTGTTATTGGAAAGAAACCTGTTATTGGGATCAGGAGATGCCATTTTAGAAATCTCAACCCATGCTACCTAACATGTGCATGACTTTAAAGAAATCATTTCCCTCCATGAGCCTCTGTATCTTCATCTGTAAAATACATCTATAAAATAGAGGTTTGACCTAAATGATCTCTTAAGGATCCTCCAGTCCCAAGTCCTATGATTTATTCTCTTTAGACTTTTAATTTTACATCCAAAATTATCAGAGAAACTGTTGACATACTGGTCTTTGTATCAAGAGCTTTCCTTACTCCAGGGTATTTTGAGTGGTTGTAAAAATCACAGTTTTAAAGTTTCTATAAAGCAGGGCTTGCATTAATTATCATCTGCTTTGAGAATGTGCTACCTTCAAATGAATTCACAGACTGAAAGAATGAAATTAAGTTGTGACGTCAGGGATGGAGGGTGGAGGTTCTCTACCTAGGGCCAGGGCCCAGGCATAAGTCTGTGAGTTTTCTTACTTTTATTGCTGCCAAACATTTGGAGGGGGTATAGGGTAGGGTCATGAGCAGTTATTCTAAGTGTTAAAGTTCTCAGGTGTGGATTGCTAAGATTTTTACCTTGCTTGGGTGCTGGGGGAAGGTGGGTGGTTCTGTTTTTTTCTTGTGTTGACTTAGCTGTAATTACTCCGTGTGGATGGTTCCTTTAGTTTAGGGTTGAAGAGGCTTGTAGATAATCCACCATCTTTTTTCTCAGTCCTTTCCCTCTTGACCTTTCTAATGCATTTGATACTGTTGGCTCCTCGTTTCTCCTGGATAATCTTTGCCTTCTGGTTTTTCCTCCTCTCTGTATAAACACTCCTTTACAGGTTCCTCAGCAGTATTATGTCCCTAAAATGGGTGTTCCTCAGTGTTCTCTCCAGGGTCCACTTCTCTTTCTGTACTCTCACCGTTGGTAACCTCGTTACCTCCTATGTGTTGAAAGATCATATCTATGTTGATAGTTGATTGACTGATCCTGATGATCACATAGCTAGGGCACAGTGAGTAGGGAGAGGAGGGCAGTGATGTGTATTGGCCAACCAACTATACCCTCAACCACAGCTAGTTGACCTGTAAGCTCACTTCCAGCTCTAAGATTATGTTATTCCATGGACAGTAAACCTGAAAAAGCTAGTAGTCATTAAAAACTTTACTCTGAAATCACTTTCATAATTTGGTCATGATGAAAATTCCTTTTACCTTTTGAACTTTTAGACTAAGAGGGCTAAGAAAAATAGTTAGGAGTTAAATACGCAAGTCTGACTTTGATTTTGGCCCTGAGGACTTGTGAAAAAAAAATCACACTCTTTCTTTCATATTACTATAAACAAGTCAGCTTAATATATACCAGTAAAGTGCAGTCATCTTTATGTAGTCTAACATATTTTACTGCTGTTTATTGCTCGTGTTTTTGATAGCAGGCCTTTTGATATTGGAAATAATGTTATAAAAAAGTCATCTTCATATTCAGTTTTCATGAAGAAAAGTGAGGGAGAAAATAGTGCCTTTCTGAGTTTTTCAGTAAATCTATAGATTTCTGTGTAAAGTATCCCCAAGGGCATTGTGTTGAAATTGGTAGTCATGGATTTAGGGAATTGGTGACTATCTCCAAAGCTTAATTTTCAAGTCACTGAGGTTCCGTGATAGAATTTCTATTTAAACATAACATTTACCATATTTTTCTTTATGCTTTCAAAAATCTTAGGGACTGAATAGTTAGTGTCTTCCTTGAATTCCAAAATTTCCACAGTAATCTTCTTCCTATAGAGAAATAGGCTTATTCTTTAGATGTTTTTAAAGCCTTATTTCCTAATAAGTGTTCTCTGTTTTTCCCTCAGACCTTAATTTTTGTTTTTGTTTCTCAAATATAGCTAGAGGTCCCCATCAACCCCAACCCACCCTAAGTATGCCATTACCTTTTGAAAGTTATTTTGAAATATCTCTTAACTTCAAAACCACTCATTATGAGCTCTTTTGGGCAGGATATGCCAAAAGAAACTCAGACTGGTCAGTTGTTTACTGGAATCCTATAGAGAGAGAAGTAAAGCTGAATCAGCTGCCATTTCCCCCCCCCCCTTTGTATTAATAGCCTGTAGAGCTATTGTGCCACACTGGTTAAGATTCTGGTCTTGGAGTCAGAAAAACCTGGATTCAGATGTTGCTTCTCATACATATTAGTTGTGTGGCCATGAGTAAGTCACTAATTCCTTTAATCCCAGTGTTTGTCAGGCTTTATAAAACCTCAAAGTATAATACAAATGGTAGCTGTTATTATTATTATTATTTTTTTAGGCAGTTGGGGTTAAGTGACTTTCGCAGGGTCACACAGCTAGTAAGTGTCAAGTGTTTGGTCTGAGGCCGGATCTGAACTCAGGTCTTCCTGACTTCAGGGCTGGTGCTGTATCCACTGCGCCACCTACCTGCCCCAAATGGTAGCTATTATTGTCATTGGAAGCAGCCTGGCATTGTAGATAGCAGGGTGGACGTAGGGTCAGGAAGGCCTCATGTACTTATGAGCTTCATTGTCATCAGAAAATCACTTAGCTTTTGCGAGAATCAGTTTCCTCATCTGTCAAATGGGGATAATGAAGTCTGTATTTTGTTTCAAGATGAGTAGGTATATAAAGCTCAAATGAAATTGTATATGTCAAGGGGCAGCTAAGTGGTGCAGTGGATAGAGCACTGACCCTGAAATCAGGAGGACCTGAGTTCAAATACGGCCTCAGACCAAACACACTCGACACTTACTGGCTGTGGGACCCTGGGCAAGTCACTTAACCCCAATTGCCTAAAAATAAAAAAAAAATCAAAAGAAATTATATATGTCAAGTACTTTGAAAACTTACATAAATGCCAGTTATTATTATCTCCCAAGTCCTATATAGGGGTTAGTAAGGGCAAGTCCTATACTGGGACTTCTTCATACTGACAATGATATACTTTGAATATTAATAACTTATGATTCTGGGTATTGATGGGACTCATTTCTGCTCAAGCTAATGAGAATGGGGAATATGTTCTTTCTTTTAAAAAACACTATTCAGAAAATGCAGTAAATTGGGGTGGGAGGAGGGATCTCTACCCTTAAAATAGTGATTTTCAACATTTTTGGAACTTATGACTGTTTTTATGCTATTTCTCTCTCCCCTTCCCATCTCCTGCCCTAAATTAACAACATAAATTTTAAACTTCAAGCAAACAATAAATCTGAGATACATACACTCACACACACACGTATGTATATATACACACATATACACATGAATACACACACATACACACATAGATAGTATGTATTTGTTAAAATAAATTTTTGTTGATATCCTTTGTTTTTCATGTTGCTTAAATCTCCTAAAATTTACCTCTTCTCTCCTGCTCATGGAAAGCCATCCATTTATAAAGAATAAAAAAGTAAAAAAAAAAGTTCACTTATACTAAACAATGCATTGGGAAAGCCTGACATTAAATGCAGTTTCTCACACTCATAATACCCCATCTCTGCAGAGAAGGTCGGCTAGATGTCTTCTCCTTTTTCTTTTTTGGAGCCAAGCTTGGACATTACTATTTCATAGTATTCAGTTTTGCTCGTTCTTTTGTCTCATGATTTTAGTCTTTGGGTATGTTATTTTCCTGTATCTTCTGTGCTTCACTTTGATTTAATTTATTCAAGTCTTCACATGCATGCTTCTCTGCATTCAACATGTTGTTTCCTTTCTTTCAACTCAGTAATATTGCATTGCATTCACATACCACAACTGGTTTAATTTTTTTCTCAATTAGTGAATATCTACTGTATTTCTAGTTCTTTGCTACTACAAAAAGTTCAACTATAGATATTTTGGTATATGTGAAACATTTATTTTTATCATTGACCTATTTGGGTCATATAGCTAGCAGTGTGAACTCCAGGCCAAAGGGTACGGACATTTTAATTACTTTTTTAGCATAATTCCAAGTTGCTTTCCATGGTTGTACCATTTCACTGCTCCACAAAGGTATTGAAAATTCAAGTGAATTAAAATTTAGATTTTAAAGGTTTTATTTTTTGAGGATTCTGTGACATACCTGGAAAAACACTGAGATGTCATTGAACAATTTGAAAATTACCTTAGAGGCAAGGTAAGTATTGTGCATCTTTAAAGAAAAAAAGTTATTTTAAGAAATTGGAACATGTAGTCATTTTATAATGAACGTTTTATTTAGTTCACATGTACAGATCATTTGTGGAGCTAAGATATCCGAAATTAGAAATGTCACTTATGTATCTTATTGAAATCATAAATTTCTTGCTCTTGTTGCTATATAAAATGAGAGGTTTGGAGGAGAAAAAAATTTATATAGAAAATGCAGTCTTTTAAACTTTTTTTTCAATCTGTTTCCAAGTCATATTAATTGTTAAAAAACTGCTTTGCATAAAAGCATACAAATACTTAGAAACATGAGTGAATCTATGGATTGAGTTATGTTATGTATAATGTAATACATAATACATCCTTTACTTCAGAACCCCTTCGTTACTTCTGATTCTGTACAGTTCTCATCTATATCTTTCCATAAACCACCCATAGAGGAGCCACTGAATATGTTAGAAGTTTTATTCTAGTTCTTCTAATTCCTAACATGAAAATTAATAAATACTGTTTTTTGAAGATGGCAATAAACTCTATTGTTTCTATAACAGATTGGTTTATACTGTCATATATTTTAAAATGATCAAAGTATTTTTTTCAATCAGGCATTTATTAAAGTTCTGTTATCAACATAGTATTAAAAATATGGCTTGTCAGCACTTAAAACAATCCAATTAGCCCTGAGCTACTTTTATAACTTAATGTAAGCCATGAAAACTATTTATTTGTTAGAACTGAGATTATACTGAATAAAATTAATTTTGTATTTAGCACTCCCTTTTACCCTTTAATCTAGAAGTATGTGGAATTTTAGTGACAATGAAAAGAGCTTTAACTATAATTTCTTAATATTTTTATTGTTATTTCTCCACTAGAGGGCTCTGTTGCCTTTTGAAATAATTAAACAAAAGAGCCAAAAGCTTAATATAATTCTTTTGGGGTGTGTGTGTGTGTGTGAATAGTACATTTTACTAAGATCATTTTAGGCCTTAAGTTCATGGTGGAAACTAAGAAATAACTGCGAAAATGTGATTAGTGCAGTTTTTTATTTTATTTGCTTTTTTTGGTATTGAGTAGCAAGGGTAAGAAGATTCGTTTAGTAAAAAGATAATATTCAGCTTTCATAAGATTCTGCCATATTATACAAGGACATATGTTTCTATGGCATTATTGGTTTTGAATATCCTGTTCTGTCAATAGTGTGATTTCTTAGGAAGTCAAAGTTGGAATATTTATAAATGTGAATGGTTCTATTTAGAATTTACGTTGAAATACCTTGATATTGGTATTCAGAGTTAATTTTTTAAAAATTACCTGGTTGCATACAATTTATTATAAATAAAAGCCATATTAATGCTATTGCTTATAATAGGAGTTAATGTGTGCTGGGGTGGGGCTTATAGTTTTTGTTAAAACTGGGTGTTAAGAATGCCGCATTAACTATTTGTTGTAACTAGAGAGAAAGGCATAGGGGTTGAACCTGTGATACCACTGTAATAGGGAACTCCCAGGTTGAGAACTCACTTTACCAATGCAGGTGTTGACATCAGTGCCTTTTGTGCAGCTCAGAGTCTTAGAGAATTTCCTAGAACACTGAGAGCATAAGTGACTAGCTCAGGGTCACATGATCTTCTTGGCTCTGAAGCCAGATTTCTACCCATTTACACAAAATAGAGAGAATCATATTTAAATAGCCAATGCCCTGAACATTAAAGTTTAAAGAAAATTAAAAAATTAAATTAAAAAGAAAATTGACCGCACCACTAGAATTTGAAGCTATTCTATTGGACATTCTTGGAAAAAACAACCTGTTTGCCTCAAGATTATGAAATTTTTGTCTTTGGGAACTAGTTATAGCTTCAAATACTACCTCATTTCCCCTAAAGCATATAATGTATATTACATATACTAATATGTATTTACTATTATCTTTCTAGTCTTGCTTCTATACTTTTTAAAAATAGAGTTTTTTAAAAAGTTAAGTATATTTTCAACATTACAGAATTTTAAAAATAAAATTAAAGGTATTTTGTTTGTTCACATAAAAAGACAATCACCATTAAGTAGCTTAGATGCTTTTGGAGAAATTGTTAGAATTACAGTACTACTCTGGGCATTGTTAAATTTTTATCCTAAGATACATGCTAATTATTAAGATTCCTACTATCATAGGGTATTTAAAATAGAGACAGTTTCTGTCATCCTTTTTTACAACATATAGTGAAGCATTAGCATTTAGACACAAGATGATTTCTCATCTTTTTTTCAGGGTGTCATTTGGGTTAATAGAAAGTTTTATTTGTACAGCTCTCTTAAGGTTAGGCTAGATTGTTTACAATTTTCTCTACAGAAAAGTTACCAGCCTAAATTTCTTGGCTCTCACTAGCCCTAAGAACAATGTCATCTTTCGTAATATGTCTTTCTACAAGAACATCCAAATGAGGTAAATAATGTTCTTATTTTTAATGATCTAGGAAGCATATTTTGAATTTTAATGTATAAAATTTTGGAGTTTGCTGATTAAAAAAAAATTCTATCGACACAGTGCTCTCTCCAAAATTGCTCATGATCTGTTGACAAATCTAATGTCCTTTTCTTAATCCTTATCCTTCTTGACTTCTCCGTAGCCTTTAGCACTGTTGATCCCTGTCTTCTGGATCATCTCTCCTTTCTAGGTTTCCATGCCACTTCTGTCTCCTGGTTCTCCTTCTGCCTGTCTGACTGTTCCTTCTCCATCTCTTTTGCTGGACTTTATCCATATCACACTTATAATCTCTGTGCTAGCAATCCTCAGTCCTAACCTTTCTGCTGACCTCCAGTCTCTGATCTCCATTTGAAATCTTGAACTGGATGTCCAATCAAGTCTCATCTAAAGTCCCACCTTCTGTGAGAAGCCATTTCTAGTCTTCCTCAATTTTAGTGCCTCCCCTCTGATAC